TTTCGTCTAATCTGCCGCTATCTTTTTCCATGATGCTGCCTTCAGCCCTGGTTAAAGACCTAACAGGACAACCCCAGGCCTGATTTTCCTGACCATAGCCCCTTGAGGGAGTGATGAAGCCTGGGAAAGAGTGCAGGAGAGACACAGCGAGGGAAATAATGAAACCCATTGGGAGTTTCCATAAGGAAAAAGAGTCTATCCTTTATGGAGATAGGCAGTCCTATTGGGAACATGTAGGTCACCTACTATGCTTGGAGAATACTCAGCATGTCATGTCCTTTCCCTTCACTTATGTCTTACATAAAGAAGAAACGACATACATGGATCCAAAGCTTTCTCAAGCAAGACATATACTGTCAGTAGAAATAGTAAAGCTGAAGGCAATTATTCCTAAATTATAATAACCAAAGATTGAAAAATTTTACAAATTATTGGTAACAATTCTTTCCTCATTAAAAAAAAGCTGTGATTTATTGAGCATTTACTGTATATCTACAGGTACTGTTCTAAATGTGTCACATGCAATGTCTGATCTCAGCCTTACAGACAGGGATTCTCCTTGATCTTTCTTTTCTCAGAGGAGAAAACTGAAGCTCAGAGAAGTAATTTATCAAGATCACACAGCCAGTAAGAGACACAGGCAGAGTCAAACCCAGCTTGGGCCCTTTATGTATGTCTTGAAAATATACCGCCTTTCTTAAAAATTAGAATTGCATACAGACAAGAGCCAGGTCTTGCTTTATCATTCACAAGTTCCTGAATTTAAGTTGGAAGTTGAGTGCATGAGTTGAGGAAGATGACTGGGACTCATTTTGAAATGTGCTATCTTTTTTTAGCAGATTCTGAACACAAACTCGAGACAAGTTCAGGAAGAGTACTGGGAAGATTTAGAGGTATGCCATGACCTTTTAGAACCCTTTATGTTTGGTTCAAAGTCAACAAGCACATGTCTTTTAAAAAGCAAGGAGATATTTCATATTTTGTCTCTGAAGATAAAGCACCTTGTATACAGCTTAGCATCTCCCAGAGTAAATACAGAATGTACACCATAAACTAAACTGAAGTGCATGGGTCTGGCAGCAGATTTCCCAGTTTTATTTTTCCCATTCTGCATTATCTAATTCTCTTCCCCTGCCTTTTACCTGGCTTCATTTGTCTTCAGCAAATTTTCTGTCACTCCTGTTGGCATGTCAATGTTTGTCATAGTAAAGATGACCTTTTCTTAAAGTCATTGAACTGAAGAGCTGCTCCAGGGAGGCTAGTTCTGGGCAGAGAGCTGGAGAAAAGCAGGAGGTGAAATATGAAATATTCCCGCAGAAATACATAATACTCGGGAGCTTTTGTTTTTCTTCTTTCTTTTAATAGTAGCATCTATATGGCTCTGAAGGATAGGTCTCTTTGTCTGTTTTTCTATTTTTTAAAATAAATAAAATAATCTCCCCTTTCCCATCCCCACCTTCTGACTTTGTTTACCATTTAAGAATTTACAAGGAAACAGAATCACTGCTGCAAACTTAACCCAATTTGTTATTGTTTGGTTTTTTTCAGGAAAGGGAAGTGGAGGCTTAAACCTTGGAAATTTCTTTGCAAGCCGTAAGGGTTACAGTCGAAAAGGGTTTGACCGGCTTAGCACCGAGGGCAGTGACCAAGAGAAAGAGGAGGATGACGGAAGTGAATCAGAAGAGGAGTATTCAGCACCTCTGCCTGCACCCGCACCTTCCTCCTCCTGAAAACCAAGCTTTGATTTAGATTAAGTGAGATTTACCCAGAATGTCAGATTCCTTTCCCTTTAGCACGTTTAAAGTTCTGTGTATTTAATTGTAAACTGTACTAGTCTATGTGGGACTGTACACACTTTATTTACTTCGTTTTGGTTAAGTTGGCTTCTGTTTCTAGTTGAGGAGTTTCCTAAAAGTTCATAACAATGCCATTGTCTTTATATGAACATAGACTAGAGAAACAGTCCTCTTTTTCCATCATAGTACTAATCTAACTATGGAAGATTTGCCCATTTACACTTTGAGACTTTTTGGTGGATGTAAATAACCCCATTCTTTGCTTGAACACAGTATTTTCCCAATAGCACTTTCATTGCCAGTGTCTTTCTTTGGTGCCTTTCCTGTTCAGCATTCTCAGCCTGTGGCAGTAAAGAGAAACTTTGTGCTACATGACGACAAAGCTGCTAAATCTCCTATTTTTTTAAAATCACTAACATTATATTGCAATGAGGGAAATAAAAAAGTCTCTATTTAAATTCTCTTTTAAATTTTCTTCTTCAGTTGGTGTGTTTCTGGGATGTCTTATTTTTAGATGGCTACACTGTTAGAACACTATTTTCAGAATCTGAATGTAATTTGTGTAATAAAGTGTTTTCAGAGCATTAGCTGTCAGAGTGTATTTTCCAGTTTTTGCATATTTGCAAAAATTTGCAAATATTTTACATGCAACTTTTATAATAATTACACAAACCCACAAAGATTAGAGAAACTTACTCAATGTCTTCCACCAAAATAAATGTGTGTATTGTACAAAATTTAGAAGATACTTTGTTAGGTAGCCAATATAAATTAAAAACCAGCCTGAGTTTACATACATTTGTAAAGTCAGGCTCTTCTAAAATCCAAAGAGGGTTTTTGCCTACATATCAATCAAAGGATAAATACTTTAATAAAAGGTGGTCACAGAGGAAACCTGTATCTCAAATTACATATGCAAATGATCCATCAGTAGGGATCACTAATAATAGTTTTCCTTTTAAAAAATAATTTCAGGCCAGGTACAGTGGCTCAAGCCTATACTCCCAAGACTTTGGGAGGCCAAGCAGATGATCGTTTGAGCCTAGAAATTCAAGGCTGCGGTGGGCTATGATCAATCCACTCTACTGCAGCCCAGGCTGCAAAGTGAGGTCCTTTCGCTAAAATGAAATAAAATTCCCATGCATCCATAGGAATATATTCATCTTTTACAGTGACTGCAAATTAGTTTTAAAACATCTTTTTCATAATTCATCAATGCAAGTTAGTAAGAACCAGATAATTTTCCACTTTAAAATGACAGGAATCTAGAATTCTTTTTCAAAAATGCCAGCCTGTTTTTCAGGCATCATAGTAGTAGTTGGAATAATACAGATATAATTGACTAATCGTAAAGTACATGAGAGTACAGAAGGGAAATTGGGAAACAGTAAGTCTGCTAGGGCATTACAATCCTGTCCTAGCACTCCACTTTTATTCTGCCAACCTGGGTTAATTGAAGATGGTAGCCTGGAAAGTAATGAACATTGACTTCAGGCAATCTTTCCACTGATTATTCTTGGCTGAACTTCATTTATGGAGTCAGAGAAGGCACTGCCTGAGAAATGCCCCAGAGGAGTGAATCCTAGGCCTAGCCACAGTAGAATCACCTGGAGAATTTAAGAAAATATTTTTGGGCACTCGCTCTTTCCAGCGATCTTTATTTAGTTGTCTGACAATGGAATACAGGTATAGTTCATGTTTTTAAATTTGTTCAGGCGTTTCTAATGTGCGATCACAGTTGAAAAACCATTGTCTTCAAGAATGGCTATTCTATCTTGCCAATTACAATAAGTGGGTAGCTATATTATCACATAAATTATAGTTTACAGATGTTTGGAGGGGGAGGACAGGATCTGAGTTGTTTTAATATGACTGTTAGCACCAAAATCTGAATGCCTTAATTGTTGGATGTGTTAAATTGGATAATTAAAATGGGCATAATTGACTTATTAAAAAAGCAAAGGGAAACATCTGTGCTTTCATTTTTTCTTCTATTAAAGTACCTAGAGAATATGATTTGGGAGAGTTAAAAGAATAGCTTGTCATTCACTGAGTTGGCCCTGAATTCTCATTTGCATAAAATCTTTTGTTCTAAGCTTTCTTCTTTAGTTTATTAAATCAGCATATTATTTTTCAAAATTACCATGCATCTTTTAACTCTCATCCAGATGTTATATAAAATCAAATATTTAGGAAGCTGAATGACAATTTAATCCATAGACTTTGTATTAGAGCTTGTTTCCCAGACTGTCACCTACATGTAGCTCAAAGTTGATGTAGCCTACAGCAATACTTCGCAAACTTTAATGTGGGCAAGAATCAACTGTGAGTACTAATTTCAGAAGTGCTGATTTGGTCCCATTCCCATAGTTTCTGATTCTAGGTGGGTCCTAGAAATCTACATTTTTAAGAAGCATTCCTTGTGATTTGAATTCAGGTGTTCCATAGTTCATCTCCAAGAAACATAGTGCTACAGAGAGTAGTTGAACTTTAAAACATTCTTAGGCACAGAAAGTAATATTCTCAAAGATGTGGTCTCTGTAGAGTGATGGTTAGGCCTAGAAGTCATCAACCCCAGTGCCTCAAACTCAATTCACAAAAAGACCTAGATGCAAATTATCCTCAGGGCCAGAACTTAGCAGCAGCGTCTTCCTTTAGTCCCCTGATGCTCTTTATTCCACCAGGGAAATAACTTAGGTGCATGAAAAGGCCACTAGTGGCCTCCCAAGAACTTCCTTTTTATTTTTGAATCACATCTAAAGGCTAGAATAAGCAAGTCTATTTGGAGTGTTTTTATAGTATAATGATTTAATTAAGAGAATATAATCATTGATGATGGTAAATACGATTCCTGTTCATAGCCTTAAAAATTTTGAAACACCAAAACACAAAGATGTCTATCACATATCCAAAGTACTGATATAAAAAAAGGACATGTGGCCGGGCGCGGTGGCTCACGCCTGTAATCCCAGCACTTTGGGAGGCCAAGGCGGGCGGATCACAAGGTCAGGAGATCGAGACCACGGTGAAACCCCGTCTCTACTAAAAATACAAAAAATTAGCCGGGCGCGGTGGCGGGCGCCTGTAGTCCCAGCTACTCAGGAGGCTGAGGCAGGAGAATGGCGTAAACCCAGGAGGCGGAGCTTGCAGTGAGCCGAGATCGCGCCACTGCACTCCAGCCTGGGCGACAGAGCGAGACTCCGTCTCAAAAAACAAAAAACAAAAAAAAACAAAAAAAAAAAGGACATGCATTTTTCTGGGTCTGAAAATAGAGTATACACTGTACCATCATACAGAAAGGATTTACCAATGAAGACCTGATTTAAAAAAGCACTCTTATTCAGATATACCAAGATATAATATAAAATAGGAGCTTATAAAAAACAAGTATGACAATAGAACCCTTTTTGTTTTTGAACAAAAATGCATTTTATACAAACTCCCTTAAAATGAGTAAGTGATAAGAATGCTGTATTTGAGGACACCGTGCCAGTCCAGTGTTCACTTCCAGCCCTCGCTGTGGAAAGTGACAGCAGTCATGTTGATATTTGAGCAGATGAGAGCCAGTGTGGGCAAGCTGCTCAAGGGTATCAACAGGAACAATCCTGAGAAGCTGGCCACCCTGGAGTGCTCTGTGGAGATGCAGGTCAAAGAGAATGCCTATGATCTGGAAGCCAACCCAGCTGTCCTGAAGCTGTACCAGTCCAACCCAGCATTTTTTCAGACCACGATCACTGCCCAGATCCAGCTGAAGGCCCTCACCAACCTGCCACATACCAACTTCATGCTGTGCAAGTGCATGATTGGCCAGGCACATCAAGAAGAGTGGCCATCCGATGCATTTTGTACCTCAAGGACCTGGAGACCAGCCTCTTTCAGGCCTTCTGGCAAGCCTTAGATGAAAACATGGACCTCTTGGGAGGTATAACTGGCTTTGAAGACTCTGTCTGAATGCTTATCTGCCCTGTCATGGGTATCACCAGCACATTGACCGCTGACTGCTGGCCGAGATGCCTGGGTATCTGTCAGACAGCCAACTGAAGGTGTGGATGAGAAAATACACCTGGAGTGCTGATGAGTCAGGGCAGATCTTCATCTGTAGCCAGGAAGAGAACATTAAGCCCAAGAACCTTGTGGAGAAGATAGACTTTGACAGTGTGTCCAGCATCATGGCCTCCTTCCAGTAACGGCAGGTGTTTAATAAATATTTGTTGACTTAAAAAAAAAAAAAGAATACTATATTATACTATATAATTCTTCATGCCTTCAAAATATACATATATTGTCTAGAAAACTGATGGGTAAGTTGAGTCCTTTCTGATGCTAGTTCTAGCCTTGTACTTATTTGCCTAATAATTTTACCATCTCAGCAGGAGATTTCTCATGATAAAAACTCCTGGTAGTTGTGATTATCTGATTTGCTTATTTGGTAATTAATCTGTCATCTATAATTGGAAGAGTGTCAAGCACGCATGTAGCTAGAACAACACAATTGCACTGGTTCTTACAACTCACTTATACTTCTAGATAAGGAGACAGCGCTATTTGATATAATGGCCCAGTCTTAGCCATTCTGTTAAGTTTGCAAAGAACACTGGGTTAAGGTCACAAAAGATCTGAAATTCTGAGTTCTAGATTTGATGATTTTACATACCATTGTCTTAGGCTTCTTTAGTAATCACAAATAAATTGAAACAGGTTTAAGAACTAAACATGTTCTTGTTATAAATTCTTGTTATTAAGAATTACTGATGATATAATAAATGAGGAAAATAATAATCAAGAATTAATAATTTATTAATAAAAACTATTATTATTGTTTGATTCATATAACTGAAAAGCCCAGGCATGGCTAGATCCAGAGACTGAGATGAAACAAACAGGATTTGGCTTCCCTCTCAGTTTGGCTTTCTTCAATATAGGATTTACCTTCATTCAGACTCTCCACATATGTAGTAATGTCAGAGGATCCAGCCCGGGTCCCATGCCTGCCAAGGGCAAGCCAGGCACAGAGCAGTAAGGGGTGCATGAGTGAGCGAGTGTGGGGTCTGGCCACTGCACACAGCCAGGTATGCTGACTGTGACAAGGCAGGTAGCTCTCAGTGCTGGCACAGGTGCTGGCTCCCTGCAAGGCTGCAGCTGCACCAGGCACACCACAAGTGGCTTCCACTGTGGGCACCGGGGAATGCAGTGGTGCCCAGAAGCTTGGAGATGCCAGGAACTGCAGAGCCCCGAAAAGGGTGTCAATGACCTGCCTCGGGTGCTCCTAGGTCTGGGCTCCCTGAAGGGTCACAGCTCATCCCTCCTTCTCTCTTCTCTCCTTCTTGTCACCCACAACGTAGTGAGCAAGGGGCGTGTTTCAGCACTGTTTGTGTTACCACTCTTCAGTTCCACCACTAGACAGGTCATGAGTTCTTGTCTCATGTCCAGGAAGAATGAGGTATGTGGACAACTGGAGGGTGAGTAAGGTGAAGAGGTGCTTTATTGAGTAAGAGTACAGCTCTCAGGAGACCCAAAGTGGGTAACTCCTTTCTGCAGGCAGTTCATCCTAATGAGTTCAGCTCTCAGTGGAGAGGAGACCTGGAGTGGGTGAGCTCCTCTCTGCAGGGAGGTCATCCTGATATCTGCTCAGCTCTCAGCTGAGAGGAGACCCAGAGTGGGTAGCTCCTCTCTGCAGGCAGGTGCTCCCAATGTCTGCTCAACTCAGCTGAGAGGAGACCTACAGTGGGTAGTTCCTCTCTGCAGGAAGGTCATCCTGACGCCCTAGTATGGTTGAGTCCAGGGTTTTTATGGGTTTTAGAGGAGAGGAAATGCATGTTGATTGGTCCATGGGTGGCCATGGGCAAGTCAGATAAAGCACCGTAAGTTCTCACTGCGGTCCACAGAACTGGCACTCTGGGCCTCTGGCTTCATGCCATCCCGGGCCTGAAGGTGGAGCTTCACCAGGGACCTGCCCCTTTCTGCCCAGAAGCCTGTCTGTCTCCCTCCACCATCAACCTACTGTTCACCCAAACTGTTTGTGCCCAGGGCACCTGCAGGCTTGTGCCAAGTCACCCTCAGCAACCTCTCAGCCTCTCTCCTGTGCTCATTAGAACCCAAAGTCCAGAGGGGACCAGGGTGGCAGGGGCCTGGCATGTCAGCACTCCTCCTAGCATGCACACTCCCAGCCAGGTCATGACAGCACCTGAGCTTGGCCTCATCTTTGCTCCAAAATCACAGTGGGTGCCAGGAGCAGGGAAAGGCCAGGCAGTGAAAGCAGACATTTCTAAGCCTGTGGGAGTAAGAGGGGCTTCCTGGGTCCCCAACAGTGCAGAGATGTCTAGGTCCACAGCTGCGGCTGGGCTGTTACAGCCCCCTCCAACTTGGATGTGGGCGGGGCTTCTGCTTATTCCTGGCTCCTGCATTCCAGGAAGTATGCAGTCCTGGCTGCGCCTCCCCCAGGGCAGCGAGCATCATGGCAGCCTGCTCCTAGACTGGCCACAGCTGCCATCTGTAATAAAGGTGGCAGCCAGTAGTTCTAGGTTTAGATGCTACCAGTATTTACTCTGACACATATAGCTTCTCTTTCCAAAGAGTTCCAATACACTAACTGGCCTGATTTCGTTTGTGTCTATCTAGGTCAATTTTGTGTTACTATAAAATAATACCTGAGACTGGGTAATTTATAAAGGAAAGAGGTATATTTGTCTCATGGCTCAGCAGGCTATACAAGAAGCATGGAACTGGCATCTGCATTTGGTGAGGGACTCAGGCTGCTTCTGCTCATCGTGAAGGGTGAAGGAAAGCCAGCATATGCAGCGATCATATGGGGAATGAGGAAGCAAGACAGAGAGGATAAGGTGTCAGGCTTCTTTTAACAACAAGCTCTGGAGGTAGCTAATAGAGTGAGAACTCACCCCAAGAGAGGGCATTAATCTATTCATGAGGGATCTGCCCCCATGATCCAAACACTTTCTATTAGATCCCACTTCTGATCTTGGGGATCAAATTTCAATATGAAATTGGGTCAGAACAAACCATATCCAAACTACAGCAATGTGCCAACATCAGAACCAGTCACTGGGGCCAGGGAAAATGTGATGCTGGATTAGCCAAGCCTCCATGGAGCCAGGGATAGAGTCACATTCCACAGTAACTACACTGATGATTCAGAAAGATTGGTTTCCCCAAGAAAACATAGGATACTATTGCTAGTTGAATAAGAGCAGATTCTATGGAAGAAAAAAGTGGATATTCATTACTGTTATATTGGGCCTTAACACTTAATCCATAATATTTCTCAGATAATGGGGTTTAATATAATAGCTATTTGTATAATGTTTAAATTATTACATTAAAAAGAGATATTTTATGATTAAGTCTATACTAATGAATTTATGAAGATAGTCTCAAATTTCCACAAACAATATTGAATACAAGAAGAAATGTTAAACTTTGTTTTGTTAAAATAACGTTGAAAACCAAAAAATACATAAACGTCCAAAAGTAGAGATTTGAGGCTTAAAAACTATCTTTATACTATATCTACACCAAAAAAAGTTGATAGAAACATCCAGTCAATAAAAGAGACAAAGTGATCAAGAACCAAAATTTGATGTTCAGTGAATACTACTTACTGTGAAACAAACATGCAAGCAAATTAAGACGTTCTGTTGTCTCCACTTTTTATTTTGAAAATTTTAAAGCTACAGAATTATTGAAGACTTACAGTTAACACCCACGTATTCTTCACTTAAATTTATGGTGCTTAACATTTTGCCATATTTTCATTCTCTTTCTCATAGATACACACACATAAGTATAAATACACACACTAATTTATTTACTTTTGCTGAACCATTTGAAAATAAGTTGTATTATGTGCAATTTTTGTATACAGATTATACCTCAATAAGGCTATAAAAATGTTTAAATAAAGACAACAGGAGGAACTTGGGGTGGAAGCTGCATACATCGTAACTTTCACCCTAAATACTTCCATATGTATTGCCCAAGAACTAGGACATTCTCCTACATAACCACAAAACCATTACTACACTCAATAAATTTAACACATTCTTTATTATCAACTAATATGTAGCTCATATGCAAACCCTCAATGTCCCCACAAAGTCCTCTGGAGCTTTTGATTTTTCATCCAGGATCCAATTAAGATTCATACAATGCATCTGCTTATATCTGTTTTGTCTCCTTTCATCTAAAGTAATTCCTGTATCATTTCTTCCTTCCAAAACATGGACATTTTTGAAGAGTCCAGGCCAGTTGTCTAGCACAATGTATCCCTGTCTGGATTCATACTGCTGTTGCCTCATGATTGTGGTATTTCCTACTTTCCACCACTTCATATTGGAGGCACATAATGTCATTTTCCCCCCATTATTGATGATACCACATGCAGTCACTTCAGTAAGATTGTGTCCACCAAATCTCTTCATTGTATGTGTTCCACTTCCACTTTGTCTTTAGAAAGTAAAGTAATCTGAGAGAAAACACTCTGAGACCATACGAGTATCTTGTTCTCTAACAACATTTTACCCAATAGTTTTAGGTATTCAACCATTTTCTGAATCCATAATTTTGAGAGAGTTCTCAAATAATGATTTTTTAACACCATAATTTAATCTTTACTTATTAGCTGGCATTCTTCTGTAAATGACTGAGACTCTTACTCTCCCACCCTAAGAAAATTTGGCAGCATTCATTCAGGTGCATAAAATAATTTCCTCATTTTATTTGTAAGCAATATGATATGCACCCAAAATTCATGGTATAAATATGGTCAAATATCTTGTTTTCCTACTTAATTACTCAAGTCCTTACCTCTTTTATTGGCAAAAAGTCAATTATCACCTTTCATTGGTTGGCTCCCCCTCCTTCCCTCCTCTGCAATTGTCAAGCAACAACAACAACAACAAAACCAAGAAAACAAAAACAAAACCTATGTCCCTTTAAAAGGCATGGATAGAATCAGCAGTAGATTTCCAGATGCAGCAAGGGCATATTCAAGTGTAAGACAACCATGCTGCAATTACTTCTCGCTGCCTCATGATGTCACTGATGAAGATTATCTATTAATATACCAGTCCTAAAAAAACATGCTCCCCTGCTAGCTGCCCTAATTCAGACCACCCTCCCTGAGTGCTGTATGTGGTTTCTAAGGGCCAATCTTTTTAGTGCTAGGTTCTTTTAGTTGATACACAGGCCCAGGAGTCCTGGG